CATTGGGTGGTATAGTGGGTACTCTATCTGCTTGAGGTGAAAGCTCTGCTGGCACCCATTGGGTGGTATAGTGGGTACTATATCTGCTTGAGGTGAAAGCTCTGCTGGCACCCATTGGGTGGTATAGTGGGTACTCTATCTGCTTGAGGTGAAAGCTCTGCTGGCACCCATTGGGTGGTATAGTGGGTACTCTATCTGCTTGAGGTGAAAGCTCTGCTGGCACCCATTGGGTGGTATAGTGGGTACTCTATCTGCTTGAGGTGAAAGCTCTGCTGGCACCCATTGGGTGGTATAGTGGGTACTCTATCTGCTTGAGGTGAAAGCTCTGCTGGCACCCATTGGGTGGTATAGTGGGTACTGTATCTGCTTGAGGTGAAAGCTCTGCTGGCACCCATTGGGTGGTATAGTGGGTACTCTATCTGCTTGAGGTGAAAGCTCTGCTGGCACCCATTGGGTGGTATAGTGGGTACTCTATCTGCTTGAGGTGAAAGCTCTGCTGGCACCCATTGGGTGGTATAGTGGGTACTCTATCTGCTTGAGGTGAAAGCTCTGCTTGCACCCATTGGGTGGTATAGTGGGTACTCTATCTGCTTGAGGTGAAAGCTCTGCTGGCACCCATTGGGTGGTATAGTGGGTACTCTATCTGCTTGAGGTGAAAGCTCTGCTAGCACCCATTGGGTGTGTAGTGGGTACTATATCTGCTTGAGGTGAAAGCTCTGCTGGCACCCATTGGGTGGTATCGTGGGTACTCTATCTGCTTGAGGTGAAAGCTCTGCTGGCACAACATGGTTATAGGTACATGTGAGCTGTCCAGCTGTAGGTCCGGCTGGCAGTATGTAACACAAAGTAGTATAGCTGATTTATATTATAAGTTGTCCACTAGTCATGGGGACATAGGGTGATGGACTTTGTTAGTAAATGTTCCCTGAGCAACAGCAATGTAATGCTAACAGTTCAGCAATTTTAGCAGGGAAATGTATCTTACATCTTAATGGGGTACTTTAAAAATAGCAGAATGCAACATTCATGTGTAAGGTAAAATAAATGTATGCATCAATCTTCAGGCGCACAATTCTGGTTACAAAACAGAAAAGAAACTATACACAAATTGTTTCCCTTTGTTCCGAATATACACCAGATATAGAGATACATTACCACAGTGATGTGCATGAAATATGTATGATTTACATGTAGACTGCACAGCCTGTCTGCAGATATCACAAGATATCATCTCATACACCCGACACTGTGGGAATTTAACCATTTGTTAAAGTTGGGTTTTTTACATCTTTGTGTTTAGAAAGAAAACTTTGCTGTGTTGTTTGTGTTAGAAAATACTGATTTGCCCGTGCATGCTTGCTGTTTTTGGATAAGGTTTCACAGGCAATGTTTTAATGAACATGACAGAAGACATTGAGGTACAATACCCTTCTTGTTTCGTGTTCCGAAGCATTACGGTGTATGCCAAAGGGGTGTATGCCAAATAATTGGCAAGGAGTGATGTACAGGTGAGGCCAGGAGTGATGTACAGGTGAGGCACGGAGTGATGTACATGTGGTGCAAGGAGTGATGTATAGGTGAGGCAAGGAGTGATGTACATGTGCAAGGAGTGATGTATAGGTGAGGCCAGGAGTGATGTACAGGTGAGGCAAGGAGTAATGTATAGGTGAGGCTAGGAGTGATGTACAGGTGAGGCCAGGAGTGATGTACAGGTGGTGCAAGGAGTGATGTATAGGTGATGCAAGGAGTGATGTACAGGTGAGGCAAGGAGTAATGTATAGGTGAGGCCAGGAGTGATGTACAGGTGAGGCAGGGAGTGATGTACATGTGGTGCAAGGGGTGATGTATAGGTGAGGCAAGGAGTGATGTACAGGTGAGGAAAGGAGTGATGTACAGGTGAGGCAAGGAGTGATGTACAGGTGAGGCAAGGGGTGATGTACAGGTGGTGCAAGGAGTGATGTACAGGTGAGACAAGGAGTGATGTACAGGTGAGGCAAGGAGTGATGTACAGGTGAGGCAAGGAGTGATGTACAGGTGAGGCAAGGAGTGATGTACAGGTGAGGCAAGGAGTGATGTATAGGTGAGGCAAGGAGTGATGTACAGGTGAGGCAAGGAGTGATGTACAGGTGATGCAAGGAGTGATGTACAGGTGAGGCAAGGAGTAATGTACAGGTGAGGCAAGGAGTGATTTATAGGTGAGGCAAGGAGTGATGTACAGGTGAGGCAAGGGGTGATGTATAGGTGAGGCAATAGGTGATGTGGAAGACCAGTTCTGAAAGGATAAGGTTGACCTGCAGGATGGACAAATCTGCTGTCCATATGCCACTTCATGTGCATGGATACAAGAAAAAAGAATACAAGACTGAGGAGAAAACTGAGAGTAAATGTTTGTTACAGCCATGGTACAACATTCTGTTAATGGCCGTCCTATCTCTGTGGATAATTGTTTGATACTCACTCACCCTAATCACAATCCTGTAATGACATGGAAGAAGGCCAGTGGAAATTTCACAAAACAGCTGTTGTGGTACTGGAGACCTCATCTGACCTTTTTATGATGGACGGGAAATGCATTAGAAATAACTTAGCCATGAAGTAAGTGCTCTCAATGTTTTCAGTAATTCACACATCTTGTGTTGTACACGTTTATATCCCTGCTGGAAGAAATGGGGAGGAACCATGGTGGTGGAGGGCATGTGTCTCCCTAGAATCACAGGGGTGTGTGTGTGGGGGGGGGACTGTCCTACTCCATATCAAGTACAGTGTGCAACATCAGTAGACTGATCAGTGGAAGCTGAGGGACTGACTAATTGACCACACAAAGATAAATGAGGAAACATGACAGACTCTTTGTACGCAAGTGTTTTGAACCACAAATATACCATCGTTAAACCATGCCAAGTACATCCCCTCAACTTATTAAATTCTTATGTTCATTTCTCTTGAAGAGATTTCAAACTGCTTTAATAGGGATGGAAATTAGTCACTTTGATGTCCTCTATGAATGTGAAAATCTTTCTATGAAGTGGTTACTGTGTTTTATCCCAGGTACTGGTGTCAGTGTTTTATCCCAGGTACTGGTGTCAGTGTTTTATCCCAAGTATTGGTGTTAGCGTTGTATACAAGGTATTGGTGTCATTGCTATATCCCAGGTACTGGTGTTAGTGTTATGAAATGATGGAGAATGCACTAACTCTGACACATATGATGTCCTAAACATCCTGGCATGATGGGCTGTCTGCTCCAGTCCAGTTTTGATTAATGCATGGTATAACAATTAACAGACAAAAGTATCAGTGTTTGAGGCCAGTTGTCTCATGAAACCTGTTAACGATGTGGTATCACTTTCGGTTGTCCATTTCGTACCAGGTGTATTTCATTTTCATGAAAAAATGTCTTTGAAGATTTTTTGATATTGTAAGAAGTGTTTATGACAAACTCTGGAGGCATGGTAAATAAGTCCTGTCCATCTAACTGTGGGTCATTTATTTCAATCCGTTGTAGCAAAGTTGGATACTGCATTGGACTTCTGCCTTACACAAGCAGGTTTCCCTTTTCAAGCAATTCAAAATTCCATTATGAATTAATATATACTGCTTGTTGAAAGTTTTACCACAATGTTCAAACTGTGAAATATATCATCCTGTATAAGGAGCAGACAGTAGCTATTTTCTACACTGACCACTCTCAGCCCCATCACAGCCGAGAGCAGTGTCTCTACCAGTCCTGTTGTAGCCAAATCACAGCCAAGAGCAGTGTCTCTACCAGTCCTGTTGTAGCCAAATCACAGCCAAGAGCAGTGTCTCTACCAGTCCTGTTGTAGCCCTATCACAGCCAAGAGAAGTGTCTCTACCAGTCCTGTTGTAGCCCAAACACAGCCGAGAGCAGTGTCTCTACAAGTCCTGTTGTAGCCCAATCACAGCCAAGAGCAGTGTCTCTACCAGTCCTGTTGTAGCCCTATCACAGCTGAGAGCAGTGTCTCTACAAGTCCTGTTTTAGCCCAATCACAGCATGATGTTTCTCTTTGAGCTGCTGCAATGAGCAGATAGTTTCCTGAGTATAAAGTCATTGAACATTTGCATGTTATAAGCACTTAGAATAATTTGTGGTAGAGCAAAACTACCCAAGCAACCCAAATCTCTGCAAAATGTGATGGAATGCAAGCTAGGTGGTAATTTCTTGGGCATTTACAGTGATAGTAGGTGTATGCATCTCTGCAGCCTCTGGTTCCCTCTCGGGGAGTACTTGGAGTCTATGAGCAGGAGTGTAGAAGAAAGGAAGTACGAAGGCATGTTGATCAGTTCTTGTGTTCACATTTTCTTTTACACAAATCAGTAAGTTCAATGATCAATATTATAATAAATAATAATTTGTGATGAAATTGTAAATTCTCATTAAAGCAGGTATTCAACTTGTTTGTAAACACTATATGAGGATTCCAGCAGTGATAGGTTTTTCTTTGGGCAATATGTGTTTCATGAAACCAAAAAGTGAAATGAGTGGGTACTGCCAACACATAGAGGAATGACTGCCTTGGAAGTATGGCTGGCTGCTCGGGTGTGTCATCACATCCTAAAGGCAGTGATCAGTGCTCACACTATCAAGATCTGCTACAGTCCTGGATACAAGCAAGACGGCTGATGCATTTGACATCCATTCATTAAATATTTTCAAAATACAGTTATTTTGTCCTCACTATTTTGTTAAGTTACTAATTATGGCCCCTGCCCCCATAAGGAATCAGAACTTTGTGATTTATATGACGAGATCCAAGATAATCCATAATTCCTCATAGCTAGGAAGTTATTGTTTAAATACTTCAAACAGGTAGAGAAATAATTCACTGTTTTTTCCATAATTGAATGTTGATAATTTCAGTGTTACTCCATCCTGCGTCTAAGTTTAGATAAAGTCAATACCAGTATATTCTGGGGCTATCCAGCTTCCCGATCCCATGAGTGCCTTAAGCACGTTGTTCACATAATTTCCGCTTGTTTCAGAACTGCAGTGGAAGTGATTGTAACTCAACAAGGCAAGATATAGTCTGTGAGGTAAGTGAGATGTTTACACCACATTGATCTGCATCAATAATTCACACATGAAATTAGCAGCACAGAAAAAGATTAAGGAAGACAGTATAGCCGAAGGGTTTGCCGATTTCATCTGATTGACAGACATTTGTTTTCCTTGCAGACTTGTCATGCAGGTACTATTATCTGTGATTAGGCCACTTAACCATTACTGAACAGATGAGGTGGGACAGGTGTCTCATGCCTTAAATATGTGGACCTGATTGAAGATATTACACAATCAGCAGTCCCAGGTGTGGGAGCCCTCCGACAGGCTTCTGGAAGTAGTTGTCAAGTAAACATGTTTTTACCCTTAGTCTTAGTCGAGTTTTAGATAAAGATCAAGTTTGTGACATGTACTACAGGATACATAGCAATTGTTGAACATGAAGGTCTTGGGCATGTGAGTGAAATGTAATGTTATGTTAAATACTGTTTTTGTGTGGATTATTCAATATATTTGAAACTGCTGATTGGTCAGACATGATCTAAACAGACACTATGTCACCACATGATAGAAGATTTCTACAACAATAGGAAGTTTCATTCCCTCATTCAAAACATGTCAGTGGGTACTTGGCAGCCATGGGCTCAGGTGACACATTAAGTGATTGATTGAGTGAGTGAGTGAGGATGGCTTTGTGCCACTTTTAGCAATATTCCAGCAATATTATTGGGGGTATCAGAAACGGGCTTCACACATTTTACTCATGTAGGGAATTGAACCCGAGTCTTCGGCGTGCCGAGCCAACACTATGACCACAAGGATACCCCACCGCCCTGTTACACAATGAGAAGTACAGAGTGAGGAAGTTTGTGTGGTGAAGACTGAGTCACCAATATGGTTTGATAAAGTGTTAATGTTTAAAGAATTTACATTTGATGATTTAACAGAAACATATTTAGTTTGTGGATGGTTGGATATGTGTTACATTATAAAGGAATGTACAAACGTCACAATGCTTGATATTTGTTACAAATGAGTAAGTAAGTATTCATCTTCTATATAGGGCAGTTTACGGATGTTGAAGGAATCTTCAAGAAAAGTGTCATAAAGCCAGGTCTCACCGAGTCCTATAATCTGATAATTTGCAAGAAAGAATAAGACTTCAGCAACACCACCTGGGCCTATTATTCTGTCCATCTTTCTTATTACAGTGAGCTCCTAGTTGCGGCTCCCTAGCTGTAGATAGGGATAGCTCTGCCTGTCACTGCATATACGAGGGCTGGCTGAAAAGTTCTAAGCCTAAGTGGGATATCTCAATCGGAATGAAACAAAATTTTGCCACCAACAAGTACAATCATTTAATGAATCATAGACATAAGAACTGCAACTGTAGTGTTATTATTGTCTTTGTACCAGACCATCTTGTGAACCTACCCATTGAAATCACAAGAAATGGACAAAACTGGCTATAGGGCAGTCATCAAGTACCTGCAACTGAAAGGGCTAACTCCAACACAGATACATGCTGCCATGGTCTCCACTTTAGGGGATGATGCCCCTTCCTTTTCCACTGTAAAGAAGTTGGCTGCGGAATTCAAGCATGGCAGAGAGAGCGTCAAAGAAGGCCTTCAACAGCAACCATTCCGGGAAAACATTACCCAGGTGCATGACATGGTGATGGCTGATCGACGATTGACCACTCTCTCATGTGAGGGTTGAGCACATTATCACCAACGAGTTGGGAATGATAAAAATTTCTGCGGGTCAGAAACGTGTCAGATTCCTGACATCACGTGACAATTTATGCCATTTTGAAGCAGATCCCGATGATTTTTTGGCCCGATTTGTAACCATGGATGAGACCTTTCAACCAGAAACCAAAATTCAGTGTAAACAATGAAAGCATCCGGAATCACCAGCCCCCCAAAAAGCCAAGTCGGTTCCTTCTGCTGGAAAGGGGATGGCTTCAGTCTTTTGGGATTCCAAGGGTATTCTGTTGATTGACTATCTTGAAAAAGGCCAGACTATCAATGGAAGATATTATGCTGACCTACTGAGACAGTTGCGTGAAGCTATCAAAGCTAAGCAACAGCGAATGCTCACTAAAGGAGTCCTGTTCCACCAAGACAATGCTCCTGTTCACAAATCAGTGGTTAATTGCCATGTCAGCGATCCATGATTGTGGCTTCGAACTCATTGACCATCCCCCTTATTCACACGATTTGGCCCCGTCAGACTTCCACCTGTTTCCCAAAATGAAAAAGGAACTAGCCGGTCGCCATTTTCCTGGTAATGATGACGTCATTTCCGCTGTGAATGACTTTTTTAGGGTGGCTGAAGAAAATTTCTTCTTGCCCAGCATCCAGGCCTTGCAGCATCGCTGGCAAAAGTGTGTAAACCTGGAAGGGGACTATGTGGAGAAATAAATGACTTGGTATGGGTCGTTCACAGTGAGGCTTAGAACTTTTCAGCCAGCCCTCGTATGTATGTGAATCTGTACAGTGCAGTGAGGAGTGTTACATGCTCCGTGAGACAACTTGGTGACATGGTAGACTTGGGGATTGAGGGATGTGCTGGTGCTCACCGTATGTCAGCGTCAACTGCTTCACCAGTCTCAGCCTGTAAGGTAGTCTGTCTCACAGTGCCTGAACCATATTATTTTCCTTTCCACCCAGTCCTTACTGTAATGCTATATCTCTAAATAATCTAGATTTTCAACAGGTTCTGAAACTCCAATCTCACTTGAGGTCCTTTTCAATATACATGTAGTTGCTTGTTTCTATCAAAATTATGTATATTCAGAGACTAAGCATTAGTCTAGCTGTTTGGCAAGACTCACCAGTCTCTGCCTGTTAATTCTGGTCCTGCCCTGGACCAGTGGGACTAGAGGTTGACCTAAACCAATATCTGTGAGGGATGAATGTCAAGACTAGACACTTAATACTGCCCTTCTGTCAAGGGTGATGGCAGGAGATGCCCCAGGTGTACCTGACCAGGCCACAGACTGGATAACACAGTCACCACACTAACCTGGTCTTACCAGCACAGGGTGTCCACATACATCTGTAGTACAGGGTGTCCTCATACATCTGTAGTACAGGGTGTCCACATACATCTGTAGTACAGGATGTCCTCATGCATATGTAGTACAGGGTGTCCTCATACATCTGTAGTACAGGGTGTCCACATACATCTGTAGTACAGGGTGTCCTCATACATCTGTAGTACAGGATGCCCTTATACATCTGTAGTACAGGGTGTCCACATACATCTGTAGTACAGGGTGTCCTCATACATCTGTAGTACAGGGTGTCCTCATACATCTGTAGTACAGGATGCCCTTATACATCTGTAGTACAGGGTGTCCACATACATCTGTAGTACAGGGTGTCCTCATACATCTGTAGTACAGGGTGTCCACATACATCTGTAGTACAGGGTGTCCTCATACATCTGTAGTACATGGTGTCCACATACATCTGTAGTACAGGGTGTCCACATACATCTGTATGACAGGGTGTCCACATACACCTGAAGTACAGGGTGTCCACATACATCTGTAGTACAGGGTGTCCACATACATCTGTAGTACAGGGTGTCCACATACATCTGTAGTACAGGGTGTCCACATACATCTGTAGTACAGGGTGTCCACATACATCTGTAGTACAGGGTGTCCTCATACATCTGTAGTACATGGTGTCCACATACATCTGTAGTACAGGGTGTCCACATACATCTGTAGTACAGGGTGTCCACATACATCTGTAGTACAGGGTGTCCACATACATCTGTAGTACAGGGTGTCCTCATACAGCTGTAGTACATGGTACTCACATACATCTGTAGTACAGGGTGTCCACATACATCTGTAGTACAGGGTGTCCACATACATCTGTAGTACAGGGTGTCCACATACATCTGTAGTACAGGGTGTCCACATACATCTGTAGTACAGGGTGTCCTCATACATCTGTTGTACAGGGTGTCCACATACATCTGTCGTACAGGGTGTCCACATACACCTGTAGTACAGGGTGTCCACATACATCTGTAGTACAGGGTGTCCTCATACATCTGTAGTACAGGGTGTCCACATACATCTGTAGTACAGGGTGTCCTCATACATCTGTAGAACATGGTGTCCACATACATCTGTAGTACAGGGTGTCCTCATACATCTGTAGTACATGGTGTCCACATACATCTGTAGTACAGGGTGTCCACATACATCTGTAGTACAGGGTGTCCACATACATCTGTAGTACAGGGTGTCCTCATACATCTGTAGTACATGGTGTCCACATACATCTGTAGTACAGGGTGTCCTCATACAGCTGTAGTACAGGGTGTCCTCATACATCTGTAGTACAGGGTGTCCTCATACATCTGTAGTACAGGGTGTCCACATACATCTGTAGTACAGGGTGTCCTCATACAGCTGTAGTACAGGGTGTCCTCATACAGCTGTAGTACAGGGTGTCCTCATACATCTGTATGACAGGGTGTCCACATACATCTGTAGTACAGGATGTCCTCATCAAGTGTAGTACAGGATGTCCTCATACATCTGTAGTACAGGATGTTCTCATACATCTGTAGTACAGGGTGTCCCAATACATCTGTAGTACAGGATGTCCACATACAGCTGTAGTACAGGGAGACCTCATACATCTGTAGTACAGGGTGTCCTCATACATCTGTAGTACAGGATGTCCTCATACAGCTGTAGTATAGGATGTCCCAATACATCTGTAGTACAGGATGTCCTCATACATCTGTAGTACAGGGTGTCCTCATACATCTGTAGTACAGGATGTCCTCATACAGCTGTAGTATAGGATGTCCCAATACATCTGTAGTACAGGATGTCCTCATACAGCTGTAGTATAGGATGTCCTCATACATCTGTAGTACAGGATGTCCTCATACATCTGTAGTACAGGATGTCCTCATACATCTGTAGTACAGGGTGTTTAGACAATTTTAAGTTTTCTTGGGAGTATGAGTGAGTTAAACCTTAATGTTCTAACGTGATTGTCTGAGCCCTGGTAATAAGTTATGAATTCATGTACAAGCATGTATGGTATAAAGTAGATATCAGAGATTCAATGTGTTTCTACATGGCATATGATATCAGTAGAAACTGCCCCACCTTTTCCCTCTAACACCAGGTATGGTATTAGGGCTGGACTAGCTACACTCTATATTGATTGTTGCACTGATCTTCCCAACACAAATTCATTACATTGTCAGCTTCTACAGCTATCCATATCCAAATCATTCAGCTACTTTGCACAATCACAGAATACTTTACTATGCCTTCTATTGCTGAGATTACTTTATCAATAACGTGCCACACAATTTCCATGTAACAAATCTCCTGCCTTCCCAGGTTCAGGGCCAGCTCATTATAGTGCTACCTTGTTGTGGGAGATTGAAGAACAATGATGGCGGGCACCTCCTTGTCAATCTTCGCAGTTCCCCAGCTGTGGCAGTTCGAAGGCAATAGAAGCAACTGGACCAGGATCAGTTCTGTCCCCAGTATCAATACTGAAATGTCATATCACTTTGTGTAACATCAGTGCAGGAATCAGATTTGTGACATGAATCACACATACCGTATATCACCTTCTATAAAGCGACCCCACCAATAAGGCAACCCCTCCCTGTATACGCCATACCCCGTCTATAAAGCGAATCAGACTGAAGCACATCACCAGTGCATACACAATCCCAATGTTTTGTATAAATACGGGTTTGTCTTCCACAGAAAAGTATTACATTGTATCCCTTCAGCGAATTCAGGGAAAAGAACAGATCATAACAATTAAATTGGTCACTACAAATGTGAAATTTGAGCTAAAACAACATGATGATTTACTGATGAAATTGTATTTCCTGTTCTGCTAGGCATTGTTTTATATGCAGAGATTAAGATTACCGTCTGTATTGTCATGTAAACTAAGCTCAAACAGCAATACCTGTACACATGTTTTTCGGTGATTTGGTTAAAAATTAACCAATAATATAACTTTAAAGACTTTTGATACAATGATCTGGGCTGGGCATGTGTGGTTGTTTGTCTCAATCTCTTCTTCATTGAGAAGATCCATGGATGGCGGTCATCTAGACCGGATCCACGAAGATCCCGAGAGAGAATAGGTTATTTGTATCTCAAGCTTGCCATAAGAGATGACTATGCTTTTAAGAGGAGACCAACAGGACGAGATGGTCAAGCTCGTTGACATGGTTGGTGCAGGTCATCGTATACCAAGACGCAAACTGATGCTCATGATGTAAATCAAAGGATTGTCATGTCCAAATTTGATCGCCAAGTACAGATCGCCATCTCTTAGTAGAAATACATTGCTGAGTATCAGAGACAGTATCGTTCTCCAACAATAAAAAATCATGGTAGATGGCTTGGTCTGAATGACCGGTAAGGTTTAAAAAATTATGACTTTCAACGAGTCAATGTATGGCATTTATTATGTATATATCCATTCTCTGTACACTAAAGTTTGTTTCAAGGTGTCAATAGCAGTAATCTGATCTTGGTTGCTCTAAATAATGATGGGTTGTGCGATGCACTGATCACTTCACACACATTTTCGCCAAAATGAATGTAAACATGTGAAACATCTAAAAAGATAATGAAATTTTGAATAAAATATATTACAAACAGAAGGCCACATATACAATGAACTCTTTTTATAACCAGACAGTGTAATTACATGACTAATTTGCGTACTTCAGTACGGATTTACTGACATGGTATTTCCGGTGTTACATGCTCACAGTAATGCGTTTGTGTTGGTGGGAAAGAAAACATCAAAACTCTTCAACCCTGTGTATAAGACGACCCCCACCTTGAAAGCCCCCTAATTCTAGGTACAAAAAACTTGCCTTAAACAATGGAGACAGAACACAGTAATATACAGTTGACTTGTACCATGTAGCAAAGGATAGTAGTCTGTCATACAGATCCTAAAACAAATATATCCAATACAGCCCATGCAAGGCTATAATATTTGGCAAGTCTAGGTTACTGCAGTATCAGGAAATGAAGAAAGTTTCTGGGCTCCTCTTTATTATACTTTATAACCATAATTTAACAACTGCTATTTTCCTGTAAAATATGTTCATTTCAGAGACTAGATGTCAGTCTACTCTAGAAAGAGACAGACAGTGTTACAACAGATGGCTTGTTGAAGCAACTGGTACATATGTATTCCTGCGAATCGTACAGTGCTTTGACAGCGTCAGTATTATGTTAACTAAAATAGAAATTGTTGAACCACTTTATGACAACAGAATACACCTACTGTTGATGTTTTCAGAGTAATGAGGTACATAGTCCAAGTGAATTGTTGATGGAATGTGTTTTTGTAGATAGCAGCCTAGTTAGGCTACCTGTAGCCAAAATTGTATCCAGAGTGGGAGCTCCTGTCTGTCCCTTCTGTACCCCTCTCCTGCCTGGCCCCTCTGTACCCCTCTCCTGCCTGGCCCCTCTGTACCCCTCTCCTGCCTGGCCTCTCTGTACCCCTCTCCTGCCTGGCCTCTCTGTACCCCTCTCCTGCCTGGCCCCTCTGTACCCCTCTCCTGCCTGGCCCCTCTGTGCCCCTGTCCAGCCTGGCCCCTCTGTACCCCTCTCCTGCCTGGCCCCTCTGTACCCCTCTCCTGCCTGGCCCCTCTCCTGCCTGGCCCCTCTGTACCCCTCTCCTGCCTGGCCCCTCTGTACCCCTCTCCTGCCTGGCCCCTCTGTACCCCTCTCCTGCCTGTCCCTTCTGTACCCCTCTCCTGCCTGGCCCCTCTGTACCCCTCTCCTGCCTGGCCACTCTGTACCCCTCTCCTGCCTGTCCCTTCTGTACCCCTCTCCTGCCTGGCCCCTCTGTGCCCTCTCCTGCCTGGCCCCTCTGTACCCCTCTCCTGCCTGTCCCCTCTGTACCCCTCTCCTGCCTGTCCCTTCTGTACCCCTCTCCTGCCTGGCCCCTCTGTACCCCTCTCCTTCCTGGCCCCTCTCCTGCCTGGCCCCTCTGTACTCCTCTCCTGCCTGGCCCCTCTGTACCCCTCTCCTGCCTGGCCCCTCTGTACCCCTCTCCTGCCTAGCCCCTCTGTGCCCTCTCCTGCCTGGCCCCTCTGTACCCCTCTCCTGCCTGGCCTCTCTGTACCCTCTCCTGCCTGGCCCCTCTGTACCCCTCTCCTGCCTGGCCCCTCTGTACCCTCTCCTGCCTGGCCCCTCTGTACCCCTGTACCCCTGTACCCCTCTCCTCTCCTGCCTGGCCCCTCTGTACCCCTCTCCTGCCGGGCCCCTCTGTACCCCTCTCCTGCCTGGCCCCTCTGTACCCCTGTACCCCTCTCCTCTCCTGCCTGGCCCCTCTGTACCCCTCTCCTGCCGGGCCCCTCTGTACCCCTCTCCTGCCTGGCCCCTCTGTACCCCTCTCCTGCCGGGCCCCTCTGTACCCCTCTCCTGCCGGGCCCCTCTGTACCCCTCTCCTGCCTGGCCCCTCTGTACCCCTCTCCTGCCAGGCCCCTCTGTACCCCTCTCCTGTCTGGCCCCTCTGTACCCCTCTCCTGTCTGGCCTCTCTGTACCCCTCTCCTGCCGGGCCCCTCTGTACCCCTCTCCTGCCTGGCCCCTCTGTACCCCTCTCCTGCCTGGCCCCTCTGTACCCCTCTCCTGCCTGGCCCCTCTGTGCCCTCTCCTGCCTGGCCCCTCTGTACCCCTCTCCTGCCTGGCCCCTCTGTACCCCTCTCCTGCCTGGCCCCTCTCCTGCCTGGCCCCTCTGTACCCCTCTCCTGCCTGGCCCCTCTGTACCCCTCTCCTGCCTGGCCCCTCTGTACCCCTCTCCTGCCTGTCCCTTCTGTACCCCTCTCCTGCCTGGCCCCTCTGTACCCCTCTCCTGCCTGGCCACTCTGTACCCCTCTCCTGCCTGTCCCTTCTGTACCCCTCTCCTGCCTGGCCCCTCTGTGCCCTCTCCTGCCTGGCCCCTCTGTACCCCTCTCCTGCCTGTCCCCTCTGTACCCCTCTCCTGCCTGTCCCTTCTGTACCCCTCTCCTGCCTGGCCCCTCTGTACCCCTCTCCTGCCTGGCCCCTCTCCTGCCTGGCCCCTCTGTACTCCTCTCCTGCCTGGCCCCTCTGTACCCCTCTCCTGCCTGGCCCCTCTGTACCCCTCTCCTGCCTAGCCCCTCTGTGCCCTCTCCTGCCTGGCCCCTCTGTACCCCTCTCCTGCCTGGCCTCTCTGTACCCTCTCCTGCCTGGCCCCTCTGTACCCCTCTCCTGCCTGGCCCCTCTGTACCCTCTCCTGCCTGGCCCCTCTGTACCCCTGTACCCCTGTACCCCTCTCTTCTCCTGCCTGGCCCCTCTGTACCCCTCTCCTGCCGGGCCCCTCTGTACCCCTCTCCTGCCTGGCCCCTCTGTACCCCTCTCCTGCCTGGCCCCTCTGTACCCCTCTCCTGCCGGGCCCCTCTGTACCCCTCTCCTGCCTGGCCCCTCTGTACCCCTCTCCTGCCGGGCCCCTCTGTACCCCTCTCCTGTCTGGCCCCTCTGTACCCCTCTCCTGTCTGGCCTCTCTGTACCCCTCTCCTGCCGGGCCCCTCTGTACCCCTCTCCTGCCTGGCCCCTCTGTACCCCTCTCCTGCCTGGCCCCTCTGTACCCCTCTCCTGCCTGGCCCCTCTGTGCCCTCTCCTGCCTGGCCCCTCTGTACCCTCTCCTGCCTGTCCCTTCTGTACCCCTGTACCCCTGTACCCCTCTCCTTTCCTGCCTGGCAGCTGTATCAGGTGCTGCAGGCCGCACTCCCTGCCCTCAACCATCTGTTACAGACACACTCCACACTACAGGAACAGGGCAATGTAAATAATTTAATTAATCCAGCATAAACTGGAAAATAATTTGGAGATATCGTTTGATAACGCCCACTTTTTGTCAGTTTTCCTGCTCAGGTAATGAAGTTAGACATTGTTGGAACCTTGAGTAATTGTGAGATCACTTCCACACTTGGAGTCATGGCAGCAGTCCGTCGACACAATAATCAAGGCAAAGTTAGACTCAGTTTGATGTTGTCCAAATCACCCTGGCTATTCTCATTTAATATTGCAATATGATTTGTTGGCCCAGAATTGGGTTTACCTTGATCAATTTGTATTGAAAAAAAATTAAAGCAGAAAATGAAAATGAAGGTTGTTGTGAGAAATAGTGAATCTCACCTGAGAGCAAGCCTCAGAGTTTTTCAACTTTTATCAACGAGTGTTGATATATTTTATATCAAAAGACACGAGGTTGAGATTTTATTTATCATCAACATCATTCTTCCAACTTTTTCAGTTTGTAGATAGTAATAAGCAGTCTTAAGTGTAAAAAGTACTGGAAATGGCTACAGTAGGAGAGCTATTAGTGATGTTATTTGTTTGTGACGTCATGGTTACCAATGACGTCACAATGGTCTGCATTGTGATGCAATTTTATTGCAGCAATATCTACAATGTAGATATCGCTAAGCCATATCTCCTGTGGCAGCCAGTTTTGGATGATAAACCATTTTGACATAACTGAAATAAAATATATACATTTTGTAGTGGTTTAGTGCTTATCTTAAATGGGACTGGATGTTCTCAGTAGAACTTGTACATAGGATTCATCAATGTTATCTCGATACATGACAACTGAGCTTGGAGTCCTCTGCTGACCCTAGAACAGCTACTAGTGGTGCTGTATATGTCTGAAAGTGGTAGTCCAATAGTGCTGGGGGTCATTGATGAGATGGGTGATGTTCCTGGCTGCCTGAGAGGGAGTTTGCACATGATGCTGTTAATTCAGTTCACACTCAAAGCTGTATAGATACATTGTGTGGTTTACTTCAGACAAAATTGTTCTGTGTATTATATATAATCATTCTGTGCCATTATGAGATCTCACTTAAATTGTTAGTGCAAGTAAACCAGTTGCCCTGAAATGTAGACGAGCTATATACTACAAGTAGTGTGTGAGTGAGAATTCAGCAGCAGATTGTGTTGGAGGAGGTGACGGCTGCTGGGATGTGTCCTTACTGAGGTAGAAGGTGATGGGCAAAGGTATTAGCTTGACACCGGAGGATATAACAGATTTCAGTGGTAATCAGGAGTGACAGCAAAAAGTTGTGTTGGAGCCAGGCAAGGTAGGAGTGATGTGTGTGATCAATGGTGGCTGGACATCTCTGCGCCTCAGCCAGCAACCCTGCAGTACAGATAGGCTGGCAACATGGGAACTTACACCCACAATAGTCACATGTAACAACTAGCTGGCATTGTAGGGAATGAGATTTGTTTAAGATAAGTAGACCTGGAGTCTATGATCAGATGAGAATGTGGTCAGATCTGTAATATCAGCTGTGATAATGTGTTAGCTGAAGGGGTGACAGACAGACCTGATGTAGGATGCCAAGATTACACATTACACAAGTTATGGATCACTGTAGCTAAACTAGTTAACCCTTCCTAAGGGTTTTCGAGAACAAAGATGAGTTCAATACCTTCATTCCTCTAGGAACATAAATATGCTTGTCTTTGTTAAACAGATTCCTGTGACATACCAGAGGTCAGCTGTACATAGTGATAGCCTATCACAGGGAGGCTCTATTTTGTGTTTATGGCACCTACATCCTAACTCCTGGTAATGTGCTGTGAAGCTCAGTGCAGTGGTAGGAGTGATGGAAAGACAAACACATCAGGCCCCTCCCAGTGTTATAGAGATCTACTGTACATCAGTGACCTCCCAGTGTTATAGAGGTCTACTGTACATCAGTGACCTCCCAGTGTTATAGAGGTCTACTACATCAGTGACCTCCCAGTGTTATAGAGGTCTACTGTACATCAGTGACCTCCCAGTGTTATAGAGGTCTACTGTACATCAGTGACCTCCCAGTGTTATAGAGGTCTACTGTACATCAGTGACCTCCCAGTATTATAGAGGTCTACTGTACATCAGTGACCTCCCAGTATTATAGAGGTCTACTGTACATCAGTGACCTCCCAGTGTTATGGAGGTCTACTGTACATCAGTGACCTCCCAGTGTTATAGAGGTCTACTGTACATCAGTGACCTCCCAGTATTATAGAGGTCTACTGTACATCAGTGACCTCCCAGTGTTATGGAGGTCTACTGTACATCAGTGACCTCCCAGTGTTATAGAGGTCTACTGTACATCAGTGACCTCCCAGTGTTATAGAGGTCTACTGTACATCAGTGACCTCCCAGTATTATAGAGGTCTACTGTACATCAGTGACCTCCCAGTGTTATAGAGGTCTACTGTACATCAGTGACCTCCCAGTGTTATAGAGATCTACTGTACATCAGTGACCTCCCAGTGTTATAGAGGTCTACTGTAGATCAGTGACCTCCCAGTGTTAAGGAGGTCTACTGTACATCAGTGACCTCCCAGTGTTATGGAGATCTACTGTACATCAGTGACCTCCCAGTGTTATAGAGGTCTACTGTAGATCAGTGACCTCCCAGTGTTATAGAGGTCTACTGTACATCAGTGACCTCCCAGTGTTCTAGAGGTCTACTGTACATCAGTGACCTCCCAGTGTTCTAGAGGTCTACTGTAAATCAGTGACCTCCCAGTGTTATAGAGGTCTGCTGTACATCAGTGACCTCCCAGTGTTATAGAGATCTACTGTACATCAGTGACCTCCCAGTGTTATAGAGATCTACTGTACATCAGTGACCTCCCAGTGTTATAGAGATCTACTGTACATCAGTGACCTCCCAGTGTTATAGAGGTCTACTGTACATCAGTGACCTCCCAGTGTTATAGAGATCTACTGTACATCAGTGACCTCCCACTGTTATAGAGGTCTACTGTACATCAGTGACCTCCCAGTGTTATAGAGGTCTACTGTACATCAGTGACCTCCCATTGTTATAGAGATCTACTGTACATCAGTGACCTCCCAGTATTATAGAGGTCTACTGTACATCAGTGACCTCCCAGTGTTATAGAGGTCTACTGTACATCAGTGACCTCCCAGTGTTATAGAGGTCTACTGTACATCAGTGACCTCCCATTGTTATAGAGATCTACTGTACATCAGTGACCTCCCAGAATTATAGAGATCTACTGTACATCAGTGACCTCCCAGTGTTATAGAGGTCTACTGTACATCAGTGACCTCCCAGTGTTATAGAGGTCTACTGTACATCAGTGACCTCCCAGTGTTGTAGAGATCTACTGTACATCAGTGACCTCCCAGTGTTATAGAGATCTACTGTACATCAGTGACCTCCCACTGTTATAGAGATCTACTGTACATCAGTGACCTCCCAGTATTATAGAGGTCTACTGTACATCAGTGACCTCCCAGTGTTCTAGAGGTCAACTGTACATCAGTGACCTCCCAGTGTTATAGGATCTACTGTACATCAGTGACCTCCCAGTGTTATAGAGGTCTACTGTACATCAGTGACCTCCCAGTGTTCTAGAGGTCTACTGTACATCAGTGACCTCCCAGTGTTATAGAGATCTACTGTACATCAGTGACCTCCCACTGTTATAGAGATCTACTGTACATCAGTGACCTCCCAGTGTTATAGAGGTCTACTGTACATCAGTGACCTCCCAGTGTTATGGAGGTCTACTGTACATCAGTGACCTCCCAGTGTAATAGAGGTGCACCTTGCTCTGTGTGTTGTTCTGGAGTGAGATGTACACAGGTGCCCCTTGCTCTATGTGTTGTTCTGGAGTGAGATGTACACAGGTGCTACCTGCTCTATGTGTTGTTCTGGAGTGAGATGTACACAGGTGCCCCTTGCTTTGTGTGTTGTTCTGGAGTGAGATGTACACAGGTGCCCCTTGCTTTGTGTGTTGTTCTGGAGTGAGATGTACACAGGTGCCCCTTGCTTTGTGTGTTGTTCTGGAGTGAGATGTACACAGGTGCCCCTTGCTCTATGTGTTGTTCTGGAGTGAGATGTACACAGGTGCCCCTTGCTCTATGTGTTGTTCTTGAGTGAGATGTGAGTCCAGATCACTTGAACTGTGTCAGTTCAGTTAACTATTGCACTAACATTGTTGGTTGGTAGCTATCTCAGAAATTGTTAAGGATAACGCAGCCTTTACTTAAGTAATTTTATTAGTCCAGGAATTGAAGCTCTCCAAACTTACATATTAGACCAATCAGAAATATTGACAAAATTATTTTCAGAATTCATCTCATGAGATTGTTGGAGTGTCCTATGATATCTGATACGTGTTTGATATCTACACACCAGATGTAACAGGCAGTGCCTCCAGGGGCTGCCCCCAGCACAACATCGGCTAGCTGCAAGTGTGCTGCTTCAGCAGGGTGATCCCTGTACACTGGGGGTCTCGGGCCAGTCCATCTCACCAGACCAGCAGATCAATCACCACTGCTAATATTCCTTGTCAAAAAGGGGGATTACTCTCCCTACCAAAATAAATCAAGACGAGTTTATAGTCCAAGTGGTTCCTACGTCAAGCGCAGACGGGCATTTTCTGCTTCTGAAAACAAACACCGATAATGTCAGGCATGCTGCGGTTTCATCCCTTCACAATCCCTGCAGCTTACAGTGGAGAAGAACATTGTTGAACCTTGGCAAAGTTTGTTGCTATTTTATGACATTAGCTTGATGTTACACCTGTTACTTGGTCGTTGTGATAGGTATCTATGTGATGCTGTGTTTGTATACAACACTGAAGAGTGTTACTCTTAAATATTATTTACAGGATCAAACCATCCAGTAAGGCTTGTGCCAGCTTGGGTGGGGGTTAGAGAACATGTCGATGCAAATGGGAGAACAGACTACGGGCTGCTTTTAAGTGCATGGAGATCAATACATAGTTGATTGGTGTAACAGTGTATCTGATTAATATAAGCAGAAATTATCTGTACTTTTTCTCTTTGAATAATTTTATATTTGTGTTGTGATAGTTCTGCAGTGTCTGTTCGTTCATACCTGTTGTCTGGTGACTGATGACACCTTGTGGGAGGTGTGACTTGCTGCTATCAGATCTCAATCACCCTAAGCCAGATATAATGGGAGAAATTGGTCCTTTCTATGTGCTCTTTTTGTTGGAGACAAGAATTGACACAAGAAATAATTTGCTTGTGAGGAATGTATTTGCTAAGGCTGAGTATGGCTCACAAGGGAACAATGACAGTGCTATAATTCTTAGCTATTGTCAGTCTGACGCAAATCCCTGGTAAGTCTTTAGCAACATGAAAAACCCATCGAGCATAACTACATCTGACCTGACTAGACAATAGCCCAGGATCTTACAGATATAAATACCATCACAATGAAACACAAGAGCTGCAAATCGGATGTGTCCTAAGACAGGCCAATTTATCGTAAATACAAATAGTTGCAGACAAATTCCAGGGATCTGTACTGTCCAGGCCACAGATTTGGACCATGGCCAGACATGGGCTGCAGTGGAACTATTCATGGCACCTTTAGAAAAACTTCTACCTTTGTTTATTCATGTATTGGTATAATGTGAAAATGTTATAAAAGAACAGAAAACTCTTCAGAAATTATCTTATGGTAACTGATGTTTCAATGTAACAGTTTCATTTGGATATATATCTGATTAAAACTGTATGTAATAATATTTGTATTGTATTCATACCACGTAGGCTTTATGCTATTGCTAATAGAGTGACAAACAGGATGAAAGTGGTGTGATGAGATTGTTTCAGATCTGCTCAGATCAGCCTGTGTCTCACCACAGTACATAGTGGGTGTGGCTATATAGGGCCATGTTTCCCTAACAGTACATAGTGGGTGAGGCTATATAGGGCCATGTTTGCCTAACAGTACATAGTGGGTGAGGCTATATAGGGCCATGTTTGCCTAACAGTACATAGTGGGTGTGGCTATATAGGGCCATGTTTGCCTAACAGTACATAGTGGGTGTGGCTATATAGGGCCATGTTTGCCTAACAGTACATAGTGGGTGAGGCTATATAGGGCCATGTTTGCCTAACAGTACATAGTGCGTGTGGCTATATAGGGCCATGTTTCCCTAACAGTACATAGTGGGTGTGGCTATATAGGGCCATGTTTCCCTAACAGTACATAGTGGGTGTGGCTATATAGGGCCATGTTTCCCTAACAGTACATAGTGGGTGTGGCTATATAGGGCCATGTTTGCCTGGCAGTACATAGTGGGTGAGGCTATATAGGGCCATGTTTCCCTAACAGTACATAGTGGGTGAGGCTATATAGGGCCATGTTTCCCTAACAGTACATAGTGGGTGAGGCTATATAGGGCCATGTTTCCCTAACAGTACATAGTGGGTGAGGCTATATAGGGCCATGTTTCCCTAACAGTACATAGTGGGTGTGGCTATATAGGGCCATGTTTCCCTAACAGTACATAGTGGGTGTGGCTATATAGGGCCATGTTTCCCTAACAGTACATAGTGGGTGTGGCTATATAGGGCCATGTTTGCCTGGCAGTACATAGTGGGTGAGGCTATATAGGGCCATGTTTCCCTAACAGTACATAGTGGGTGTGGCTATATAGGGCCATGTTTCCCTAACAGTACATAGTGGGTGAGGCTATATAGGGCCATGTTTCCCTAACAGTACATAGTGGGTGAGGCTATATAGGGCCATGTTTCCCTAACAGTACATAGTGGGTGTGGCTATATAGGGCCATGTTTCCCTAACAGTACATAGTGGGTGAGGCTATATAGGGCCATGTTTGCCTAACAGTACATAGTGGATGTGGCTATATAGAGCCATGTTTCCCTAACAGTACATAGTGGGTGAGGCTATATAGGGCCATGTTTGCCTAACAGTACATAGTGGGTGTGGCTATATAGAGCCATGTTTGCCTGGCAGTACATAGTGGGTGTGGCTATATAAAGCCATGTTTGCCTGGCAGTACATAGTGGGTGTGGCTATATAGGGCCATGTTTGCCTAACAGTACATAGTGGGTGTGGCTATATAGGGCCATGTTTCCCTAACAGTACATAGTGGTTGAGGCTATATAGGGCTGTGTTTGCCTTACAGTACATAGTGGGTGTGGCTATATAGGGCCATGTTTGCCTGGCAGTACATAGTGGGTGTGGCTATATGGGGCCATGTTTGCCTAACAGTACATAGTTGGTGTGGCTATATAGAGCCATGTTTGCCTGGCAGTACATAGTGGGTGTGGCTATATAAAGCCATGTTTGCCTGGCAGTACATAGTGGGTGTGGCTATATAGGGCCATGTTTGCCTTACAGTACATAGTGCGTGTGGCTATATAGGGCCATGTTTGCCTGGCAGTACATAGTGGGTGTGGCTATATGGGGCCATGTTTGCAGGGAAGTACATAGTGGGTGTGGCTATGTATAGGGCAATGTTTGCCTAACAGTACATAGTGGGACGTGGCTATATAGGGCCATGTTTGCCTAACAGTTCATAGTGGGTGTGGCTATATAGGGCCATGTTTGCCTGGCAGTACATAGTGGGTGTGGCTATATAGGGCCATGTTTGCCTGGCAGTACATAGTGGGTGTGGCTATATAGAGCCATGTTTGCCTTACAGTACATAGTTGGTGTGGCTATATAGGGCCATGTTTGCCTGGCAGTACATAGTGGGTGTGGCTATATAGGGCCATGTTTGCCTTACAGTACATAGTGGGTGTGGCTATATAGGGCCATGTTTGCCTGGCAGTACACAGTGGGTGTGGCTATATGGGGCCATGTTTGCAGGGAAGTACATAGTGGGTGTGGCTATGTATAGGGCCATGTTTGCCTAACAGTACATAGTGGGTGTGGCTATATGGGGCCATGTTTGCCTTACAGTACATAGTGGGTGTGGCTATATAGGGCCATGTTTGCCTTACAGTACATAGTGGGTGTGGCTATATAGGGCCATGTTTGCCTGGCAGTACATAGTGGGACGTGGCTATTTAGGGCCCTGTTTGCCTGGTAGTCCATGGAATCCTTCTCACACTGTCTGGTAGCTGTTTCCTCACTTCAGACAGGTTCAGTGTGTTCTGTCTGGAATGATACTTTTCAGCTTTTGAGAGAAACTAGGTGGGACATAGTGACCAGGAAACAGGCATGGTAACAGTCTGCTGCAGCCTGGCTACCAGCAGACAGGACGGAATCAATTAAAGCCTCAATGCCCATTCAAACTATCGTTTGGCTCATCTGACCTTCTTATGATATTTTGTTTCCAAATATCCGCAAGTGGTCATGCCCGCCGTTACAAGTTGGCTGTAAATAACAGCCAATGTTCTGGGCTGACTTGAAGTCAGATGTTGGCATCTATTTTCCTCAGAGAATAAAGAATCTATGAATCACTGTGGAGTTGTTTGAGACAAATCTCTGCTCAAAGTAAACTCTTCAATGGGCAAGCCTCAATTGTTACATGATGTGGGATAACTGATGTACAATCTTACCGAGCATCCTGTTAGGTGTCTGTCTACGGAACAATCCAGCTCATCTCCTCTGCTGCCTCAACTCCTGCAATAGCTGAAGTACACACAATAGACAAAAGAGATGATGTATAAATACATCTTCCAATGTTTTGCTGAACTGGTTTGAACCTCCACTTTTGCTGAATATAACGTGACTAATTCACTTATGCTGGGTGCATATTGCATTGCAAACATTTTTTGAACATTGAGTGTATGGATTGAAATTAGACAAAATATTTACCCTATTTGCATAATGTTTACAGTGTAAACTATGGGTTAACATAGAGGAGACAGAAGCACTTTCAGGCCGCAACACATAACACAAATCATATTGTTTAACATCAATGAAAATCCACAATCGTATAATAATAAGTATAACTCAAAAACTCTACACACAATGTATGCTCAAAGTGATGCATTATTACCCTGTTCAATGGATCAATGTGCACTTACCACATGTGCTTCAGTGTGGGGCTGGACCAAAGCCCACAAACTCTCAAGAGCCACGCTGTTGAACATGTCATCCATCCAAGGACTCTCTGCGCCCCACTTACACCACCTGATTGTGACCAGTGCACTGTACACAGGACCATGTGCCACCTGTGAACTGTATACATGCAGTTGTTCCTTCCCTGTTAAGAGCAATGTGATGCAGTTGAAGAACACATTTCATCAGTCCCTATTTCTGCAAGTACTGTGTTCTTGTATCTGCTGACATTATTAACAGTAAATGAAATGAGCAGTGAGTTAATCATCCCTCACTGATTGGGCACACTACAGAAAACAAATGGGCTGACAGACAGTTGACAGAGGCACTCAGCATATGATATACCCAGCATCTGCCTACTGCCGATATGCCAAACATCTGCCTACTGTTGATATACCCAACATCTGCCTACTGTTGATATACTTAGCGCCTGCCTACTGTTGATATACCCAGCATCTGCCGACTGCCGATATACCCAGCATCTGCCTACTGTTGATATACCGAGCATCTGTCTACTCTCGATATACCCAGCATCTGCCTACTGTAGTTATCCCAGCATCTGCCTAGTGTTGATATACCCAGCATCTGTTTGCTGTCGATATACCTAGCATCTCCCTACTGTTAATATACCCAACATCTGCCTACTGTTGATATACCCAGCATCTGCCTACTGTAGTTATCCCAGCATCTGCCTAGTGTTGATATACCCAGCATCCACCTACTGTTGATATACCCAGCATCTGCCTACTGTAGTTATCCCAGCTTCTGCCTAGTGTTGATATACCCAGCATCCACCTACTGTTGATATACCCAGTATCTCCCTACTGTTAATATACCCAACATCTGCCTACTGTTGATATACCCAGCACCTGCCTACTGTTGATATACCCAACATCTGCCTACTGCCGATATGCCAAACATCTGCCTACTGTTGATATACCCAGCATCTGCCTACTGTAGTTATCCCAGCATCTGCCTAGTGTTGATATACCCAGCATCCACCTACTGTTGATATACCCAGCATCTGCCTACTGTAGTTATCCCAGCTTCTGCCTAGTGTTGATATACCCAGCATCCACCTACTGTTGATATACCCAGTATCTCCCTACTGTTAATATACCCAACATCTGCCTACTGTTGATATACCCAGCACCTGCCTACTGTTGATATACCCAACATCTGCCTACTGCCGATATGCCAAACATCTGCCTACTGTTGATATACCCAGCATCTGCCTACTGCCGATATGCCAAACATCTGCCTACTGTTGATATACTCAGCGTCTGCCTACTGTTGATATACCCAGCATCCGCCTACTGTCGATATACCCAGCGTCTGCCTACTGTTGATATACCCAGCATCTGTCTACTATCGATATACCCAGCATCTGCCTACTGTAGTTATCCCAGCATCTGCCTAGTGTTGATATACCCAGCATCCACCTACTGTTGATATACCCAGCATCTCCCTACTGTTAATATACCCAACATCTGCCTACTGTAGTTATCCCAACATCTGCCTACTGTTGATATACCCAGCATCTGCCTACTGTTGATATACCCAACATCTGCCTACTGTTGATATACCCAGCACTCCCTACTGTTGATATACCCAACATCTGCCTACTGTTGATATACCCAACATCTGCCTACTGTTGATATGCCAAACATCTGCCTACTGTTGATATACCAAACATCTGCCTACTGTTGATATACCCAACATCTGCCTACTGTTGATATACCCAACATCTGCCTACTGTTGATATACCAAACATCTCCCTACTGCTGATATACCTAACATCTGCCTACTGTTGATATACCAAACATCTGCCTACTGTTGATATACCCAACATCTGCCTACTGCCGATATGCCAAACATCTGCCTACTGTTGATATACCAAGCATCTGCCTACTGCCGATATGCCAAACATCTGCCTACTGTTGATATACTCAGCGTCTGCCTACTGTTGATATACCCAGCATCCGCCTACTGTCGATATACCCAGCATCTGCCTACTGTTGATATACCCAGCATCTGTCTACTATCGATATACCCAGCATCTGCCTACTGCCGATATGCCAAACATCTGCCTACTGTTGATATACCCAGCATCCACCTACTGTTGATATACCCAGCATCTCCCTACTGTTAATATACCCAACATCTGCCTACTGTTGATATACCCAGCATCTGCCTACTGTTGATATACCCAACATCTGCCTATTTTTGATATACCCAACATCTCCCTACTGTTGATATACCCAACATCTGCCTACTGTTGATATACCCAGCATCTGCCTACTGTTGATATACCTAGCATCTGCCTACTGTTGATATACCCAGCATCTGCCTACTGTTGATATACCCAACATCTGCCTACTGTTGATATACCAAACATCTGCCTACTGTTGATATACCCAACATCTCCCTACTGCTGATATACCTAACATCTGCCTACTGTTGATATACCAAACATCTGCCTACTGTGGATATACCCAGCATCTGCCTACTGTTGATATACCCAACATCTGCCAACTATCGATATACCCAACATCTGCCTACTGTTGATATACCCAACATCTCCCTACTGTGGATATACCCAACATCTGCCTACTGTTGATATACCTAGCATCTGCCTACTGTTGATATACCCAACATCTGCCAACTATCGATATACCCATCATCTGCCTACTGTCGATATACCTAGCATCTGCCTAGTATTGGTATACCCAACATTTGCCTACTGTTGATATACCCAACATCTGCCAACTATCGATATACCCATCATCTGCCTGCTGTCGATATACCTAGCATCTGCCTAGTGTTGATATACCCAACATCTGCCTACTGTTGATATACCCAACATCTGCCTACTGTTGATATACCCAACATCTCCCTTCTGTTGATATACCCAACATCTGCCTACTGTTGATATACCTAGCATCTGCCTAGTGTCGATATACCGAACATCTGCCTAATGTTGATATACCCAACATCTCCCTACTGTTGATATACCCAACATCTGCCTACTGTTGATATACCCAACATCTACCTACTGTTGATATACCCAACATCTGCCAACTATCGATATACCCATCATCTGCCTACTGTCGATATACCCAACATCTGCCTACTGTCGATATACCCAGCATCTGCCACCTGTTGAGACACACAGCTTTAACAAAACAAGTCCGCAATTCATGTAGGTGACTACGATGCTGTTATCTCCATGTAGATGACTAAGGTGCTGTTATCTCCATGTAGGTGACAAAGGTGCTGTTATCTCCATGTAGGTGACTAAGGTGCTGTTATCTCCATGTAGGTGACTAAGTCACTGTTATCTCCATGTAGGTGACTAAGGCACTATTATCTCCATGTAGGTGACTAAGGCACTGTTATCTCCATGTAGGTGACTAAGGCACTGTTATCTCCATGTAGGTGACTAAGGCACTGTTATCTCCATGTAGGTGACTAAGGTGCTGTTATCTCCATGTAGGTGACTAAGGCACTGTTATCTCCATGTAGGTGACTAAGGCACTGTTATCTCGATGTAGGTGACTAAGGTACAGTTATCTCGATGTAGGTGACTAAGGTGCTGTTATCTCCATGTAGGTGACTAAGGCACTGTTATCTCCATGTAGGTGACTAAGGCACTGTTATCTCGATGTAGGTGACTAAGGTACAGTTATCTCCATGTAGGTGACTAAGGCACTGTTATCTCCATGTAGGTGACTAAGGTGCTGTTATCTCCATGTAGGTGACTAAGGCACTGTTATCTCCATGTAGGTGACTAAGGCACTGTTATCTCGATGTAGGTGACTAAGGTACAGTTATCTCCATGTAGGTGACTAAGGTGCTGTTATCTCCATGTAGGTGACTAAGGCACTGTTATCTCCATGTAGGTGACTAAGGCACTGTTATCTCGATGTAGGTGACTAAGGTACAGTTATCTCCATGTAGGTGACTAAGGTGCTGTTATCTCCATGGACGTGACTAATGTGCTGTTATCTCCATGTAGGTGACTTAGATGCTGTTATCTCCATGTAGGTGGCTAAGGTACAGTTATCTCCATGTAGGTGACTAAGGTGCTGTTATCTCCATGGACGTGACTAAGATACTGTTATCTCCATGTAGGTGACTTAGGTTTGTGTTGTTCCATAAATATGCCTGGGAGATGTTATTCATCTATTTTTTAAACCTCCATCCACACTGATAGCACTGCGATGTTTGACTGGACCTTGTGGTGCCTCCTCCTCACAAGAACCAATGATAACCATCAGAATGCAATCATGGACACCTTTGCATTAATAGTGAAAGCGGAGCTGTTTTTATCAGTGAGTGTTATAGAGAGGTTGATGAAAGTCGGTAAAGAGAAGAACAGGCTACTGTCGCTCCGACGCTGGGGAATTATCTCCACAGTTTTCGGAATTCTCTCTCTTCTCACTCATCACTGGTTTATTTTTTTTCATTTATCACTTACAGTTGCCTAGATATGTCGGATTGTTGCAGATAAGTGTTGTTAGTTTGAGCATAAATAAGGTCCACTTAGAAAGGGTGGTTTTCTGTCATGACAAGTCTGACATTGTCTGGTATCTGAGCATGACATGGGAGGTACATGGTCTGGGTGGATCTGTCGACTGGCTCCAGTCAGGGCAGAGCTCGCCAGGGATGAGAGATGAGATGTATCTGGATGTAAAGGCAACACAAACACTGATTGGATGACAGAAGGGAGAAGTTGATTGCATAGATCTGGTGTGTTAATTTCTGACATTCATCTGATTTATTCTTTCAACTATTATTGTAAGCAAGGAAGTAACCACTGAACATATGGGTAAAAGGTGCAGATGTAAGAGTGAATATTATCCTACCCTTTTTTTTATCCTCTAGTGTCAGGATGATTCTCCCTAGTGAATTTGAACCCATACCAGTGTGGCACTAAGGTAGGATACTTTACTCTAGAGTAAAACTTCCCCCGGAATAATCTTTAGGTAGGATTTAATCCTTGCTTACACAGACAGTCTGGTTTGTCTGTTCCCAGTGGATGTTGGTTGATGATGCCATTGAGACAGTGGCTATCTCACCAACATTGAGCACCATGGATAATGTTAGCTGGACTTATGTTTGTGTTTAGTGTGTGTTTTTAAC